TGTGTGTGTGTGTGTGTGTGTGTGTGTGTGTGTGTTCAGAAGGATGGTGCTACTATGCCTTTCATGGAGTCAGAGGTCACTTTTTAAGTTATTAGATCTTCCTGGATAGAATCTGTCCTTACCTGGAACTCATCTGCAGCTTTTAGGTTGTAATACTCCTTTCTCTCTTAAGATGTCTGTTGGATATTCATAACTGCTCTAAACGAGAATGTTCATGGATACATGAAACAGCTAAGAGTAAGACAAGCTTCACAGAATGTGGCAAATGGGAAAAGCTCTGAAAGTGAAACGAGATTTCCTAGCACTGTTTATATCTTGACTAGGTATGGAATTTAACTCTTGTAAATACTGCAAATGTAACATTTCATCTTTGGTCAGTCAGTACTGCTGTCTGAGCAGGAGCTTTTGTGATGAACACATACGTGGCAGTGATGATTTAGTTGGGTACCTGGTAGTATTTTATTTGAGGCAAAAATTAGGAATTTGCCTCCAGGAGAAGTCTTGGATGCTAACTGTCTTCTGGTTAATCAGCCGTCCAAAATTTAAAATGCAAAAATAGCCTTCCTTTTGCTCTTCTGGCGAGTCAGAAACAGAGTTCTATTTAGATTTATACCTTTAAAGAAAGATGTTATACCTGCTTCAGTTGTCTTGTTGGGTGAAGCTTTCCCAGTATGCTGTGTTTAGCCTTTTGCTTAGTTATGTTAATTCTACCTCTTGTTGTATTGTTTCTTTAGACTTTGGAAGAATGGTCACTTATTTTTCAGTAAACCTTAATGAACTGCCTTTGGTTATTTTGGGCTGCTCGGTTCCTGTAGCACTAACGGATTTGAAACAGATCTGACAAAACAATAGTAGCCTGAAATATGTCTTTGATTAACATGGCTCTATGTTAACATCTCTGGGGGAAAAAAAATCTATCAGTGGTTAAAAAAAAAAAAAATCTTTTTTTTTTTTGCCCTTCTCTGACAAGAGACAGAATACAGCATGACTTGTTTTAGTGCTGATTTTGGAAAAGCAGGAAATGCTTACTAAGTGGGCAAAAAATGATGAGGTTTGGACAGTGATGTTATGTTTTACATTCTGTATTTAGGAGAACTTGTAACTGTAATGTCTGCTTTGTGGCTAAAGAAAGAGAGGAGGAGGGAGGGAAGAGGGGTCGGGGGGGATGGGGAGAGACAGATTGAGAGAGGGAGAGAGAGACAGACAGACGGAGTGACTTGTTCGATACAAAAGGTTAAGTGCAGGGAGGCTGCCGGTGTGACTCACGCTCCTCAGGGCCACACGATGCAAGGCCTGCTGCCGCCATCTCATTCTTATCTCTGGTTAGGGACAGATCATTGGGCTGGTGTGTGTCAAAAGTTTATTTTTATATCTCCTTTATTGACAGCAAAAACAGCACGGTGGTCAGTCCGCTTCAGTACAATAAAATGCTTTCTTTTAAAATATCTTGGTGCCAAGATGCATACGCTTTGCTCAAATAATGACTTTCACTCTTGCTAAGAAAAATTGTTATCGGGACACAGGAGATTTGCCTGGTTTCTGAGGTAACTTGGTAGATTATAATCTGGTTGCCATAGAAACACAGCAGCAGGGAAAATTGCAGGAACGAAACATTTGAAGAGAGATATTTTAATAGGATATGTGCAAGCCCTTTACCTATCCTCTTTCTCCCTGAAGAGATGGGGTGGGGGTCGGGAATGGGCCTCCGGCGAGCAGCGAGGGGAAGGCATACATGGCTTTTGGAGGCTGGCTGCCTCCAAGCCATTCCGTGAGATGTGGCCCGGTGTTGGGGGCCACAGAGAAACTGTTGCAGACACTTTTCATGCAATATGGTAAGCAGATAATGTGATAGAACCTGGAACATGCTCCAATTCAGATATCCCTTTTCTTGCCTGGGACTTCCCATAATACTGGTGAATTGTACTTTTAGAACTTGCATTTAGGACATGTTGTCTGACAGTTATGAGTGTAGTGGAAAAGAGCATATGCAGTTAAGATTGTCAAAGAATATCTGGGTCATAGTCTGAGTGTCCACGGATCTTTTTTTTTTCCCCTGACTAAATAATTTGACAGGCATATCTTAAAGATCTATCCCTAAAGGCGTAAACGCAAAGCAGATGCCTTCTGTTCTGCTACAGTGATGTTAGAATTGGTTTAAGGATTTTTTTTAAAAAGATGGATAATTTTCTTTCTTGGACTGTTTTATTCCCCTGTAGTCAAGTTATATTCTATGTGTACGTAGAAATAAAGTTAAGTCAAAAATATTTTCATGTTAGGAATGACTTTAAAAATTCAGTTTCAAGAAAGCAATGAGAATGTCTTAATCACTCCATAGAGATCGGGAAGGATTTCCTTTTGCGTTCTTAAAATGGCACAGTGTGTTTACATTGGTGAGGATTTGAATGCTTAAGACTGAAAAATTATTGACACAGTTACTGTACAGGAAAAATAAATTGCCTTGAAATAACTATTATAATTCAAGATAACAAGAAGCACCAGGGATGAAACTTGTACTGCTTTTCCTTGAATGGTCTTGTTTTTTCTAGTTAATGTATTTCCAGATTAAAAATGTTTTAATATCCCAACAGTGTTTCCTGGAATTATTAGTATAAGCAAAATACATAGACTTTAAAGATTTAGCTTTTAAAGGTAAAATGGTTTTGATCTTAATAAATAGTTTTAAAAAAATACATAAATTATGGTCCATATGGGCTTCCCAGGTGGCACAGTGGTAAAGAATCCGCCTGCCAAGGCGAAGACATGGGTTCTATCCCTGGGTCAGGAAGAACCCCTGGAGAAGGAAATGGCAACTCATTCCCATATTCTTGCCTGGAGAATCCCCATGGACAGAGGAGCCTGGCAGGCTACAGTCTACAGAGTTGCAAAGAGTCGGACACGGCCGAGCCACTAAACCACCACCACCACCACAGTAAATAAAGTTGACTTTTAACATTGCATATTATGAAAGCTTAATTTCTCAGAGTAATGGTTGCAGTGGTTTTCCATAAGTTTTATAACTATAATTCATTCAGTAAAAATATTTCTCAAGCAATTATTCTGTGTCAGATTTTGCCTTTATAGAACCTAGATTAAGGCTCTATAAGGAAAGACAGACACAAAAATAATTCTTTTACCACCCTAATGGCAGAGAGTGAAGAGGAACTAAAGAACCTTTTGACAAAGGTAAAAGAGGAGAGTGAAAAAGCTGGCTTAAGACTCCACATTAAAAAAAACGAAGATCATGGCATCCTTGATCCCATCACTTCATGGCAAATAGTTGGGGAAAAAGTGGAAACAGTGACAGATTTTATTTTCTTGGGCTCCAAAATCACTGTGGATGGTGACTGCAGTCATGAAATTAAAAGATGCTTGCTTCTTGGAAGGAAAACTATGACCATCCTAGACAGCATATTAAAAAGCAGAGACATTACTTTGCCAACAAAGATCCGTCTAGTCAAAGCTATGGTTTTTCCAGTAGTCATGTATGGATGTGAGAGTTGGACCATAAAGAAGGCTGAGTTTCAAAGAATTGATGCTTTTGAACTGTGCTGCTGGAAAAGACTCTTGAGGGTCCCTTGGACAGCAAGGAGATCAAACCAGTCAATCCTAAAGGAAATCAATCCTGAATAGTCATTGGAAGGACAGATACTGAAGCTCTAATTCTTTGGTCACCTGATGCAAAGAACTGACTCATTGGAAGAGACCCTGATGCTGGGAAAGATTCAAGGCAGCTAGGAGGAGAAGGGGTTCAGAGGATGAGATGGTTGGAGGCATCACTGACTCAGTGGATATGAGTTTGAGCAAACTCCAGCAGATGGTGACGGAGAGGGAAGCCTGGTGTGCCACAGTCCATAGGCTTGCAGAGTCAGACATGACCTAGTGACTGAACAACAACAACAATTAATTGCAATTATAGATTTTAGGAAGGAGCTGAGTTTCATTTTGTTTGTTTTTTGAGAACCCATAGTGCAAGACCTGTCCTGTCCTGAGAGTCAAATGCCAGTCCTTAACCTGGCAAGGATAAATGGGTGGTGGCTGGTGGAGGAATGAGTAAGGTGGGCAGAGGGTAGAGATGATGGAGTGCAGGGAAGAGCATTGCAGACAGAGGAAACAGTGTGCTTGATGGTTTTGAGGCAGGGAGGAACCAGGCTTGCTCCAAGAACTTTAATATGAATGTGACATTGACATCCTTCCACTTTCTAGAAATATATAGTCATTATTTTAATAGTGTTAATCTTGCACCGGATGATTTTTAATAGCAGTTTTTAAAACTTGGATTATGTCCTTTCATTTATATTTAGATAATAGATTAATTATTTTTCCCCTTTTGTTATCTAAAGAAACTGAATGAGATTAAAACTAAAATTCTGAGATTCTTGAAAGAACGTATTTTGCCATGGCATGCATGGTTTAGTCTTTTGGAAGTTGTCTTCTGATAACAAAATATCTATGTTACATGACTAAAACAGACATTTAGGTAATAGATTTAAAGATTTGTGTGTTTGATGGGTCCGACTTATACTGTTTATTACTATTTCCAGGTCCTATACATAGATACTTTTTTTCTCCCAAAACAGTTTTCTTATAAATTGCTTCCCATTGTTATAACATGGGAGAATTCACTTAGCTAAATACAAATGCATGTACTTATCCCTCATCAAATTTGAACCAGATCTAAGACATCTCCTAAGTTTTATGTTTATACAAGATTCTGTGCCACATATTTCTTGTCTAGTACATAAATTTATGTAATGAAACTGTTTTGGAGAAATCCGCAGATGTACTTATATTAAGTTGAAAATCAGGGATTTCCCTGGCGGTCCAATGGTTCAGACTCAGTGTTCCCAATGCAGGGGGCCTGCATTTGATCCCTCATCAGGGAACTGGATCCCACATGTCACAACTGAAGATCCCGCATGCCACAACTAAGATCCAGCACAGCCAAATAAATAGATAAGAATAAATTAAAAAAAATTGAAATTAATGTGTTATTTTGGCAGGTTATTCTCGTTCAAGTTAATCCAGGTGAGACTTTCACAATAAGAGCGGAGGATGGAACACTGCAGTGCATTCAAGGTAAGGAAGTTTTTTTGTAAGCTTTCTAATAAAAAAAATTTCCATTATTATTTTATGGAAGTAAAGTTTATCTCTGAGTCTGCATGTTATTTTCTAGAAGTAAAATTTATCTTGGATTTTTTTTTTTTTTTTGCTTTTATTAGAGGCTCCTTAATGCTGAGTGGGCCTGTGATATATAAGTGACACAGTCAAATATCTTGAGTATTCTATTGACTTTTAAGTGAATTAAATCAACTTGGGAAAGCTTGCATTGTCTTCATGTACTATGGAATTTGATCCCTTGAAAAATCCAGAGATTTTTAAGAGACCTTAAAATTCTAGTAAAGAACAGCACTTACTTTTTCAAGTTAGATGAAAGTTTCAAATATATACTGTGATGCTACCCAAATGATGCTTTTAGAGGTAAATCTTAGTTGTTTATTACTGAGTAACAGGTTGCTCAAATTTGGCAGCTATGTACAGCATTGGTTGTCTGGCTTCTGTGGGTCAGGAGTGTAGGTGTAGTTTAGTTGTGTCCTGCGGCTTTGGGCCTCTGGAAACACTAAGGTCCAAGTGTGGGCTAGTGCTGCAGTCACCATGAGGCGTGTCTGAGTGTCGGTCTGTTTCCTGGCTCGCCTAAGTGGCTGTTGGCAGGGTTTAGGGTTTTTTGTGGGCCAGTGGCAGGCAGCTTCCATCAGTTCCTTGCTAAGTGGCCTCTCCATGGAGGTGCTTACATTATGGCCGCCGGCTTCATCGGAGCAGCAACTACAGGGCAAGAGGGAGTACTCTGTCTAGCCCACTCGAGAGCAGTGATTACACAGAACGTGAACACTAGCAGGCAGGAATCACTGGAGGCCCTTTTACAAGGCTGCCCACCACAGTGCCCCCTCTGCCCTCAGAAAGTCACGTCTCTCCTGTGTGCAAGATGCCCCCTCCTAAGGTCTCCAAAAGTCTTCCATTAATGCATCAGCTCTCCAGAATCCTGTTATCTAAATAAACTCCAGGTATCGTGAGGCTCCTTGAATGTAGTTCTTTAAGGACTGCTCCTAGGCCATTTCTGTTAGTTTCTAGTTCGTGTAATACTGGGGCCTCTTCTCTGTCATTCACTTTGGAAAAAGAGAGAGACATAGATACTCTTGATCCATATGAGGTTCTACTGTAGGAAGTGTTGGAGGGCACTCTGGTGATAGCTTTTTGGCAGTGATTGGGATTATGGGACAAATGGTAAATTGGCCTGTAATTGAGTTCAATACTAGGTTGCTGGGTTAGACTGAAATCTGCCCAAAGGTCTTATTTTTAATACCTAGGCTTGCTCACCAATATATAAAGAAAATGAAGGGAAAGGCCCTTTAGTTTTAGTTTTCCATAGTGAACTACATGAAAAACTTAATTTTTTCTATCTTGCATAATAGAGTATGCTGCCGTGTAGCTTCACTACTAGTTTTTTTTAACTATAACAAAAATTTAGGAAAAAAATTAAAACTCATTTCAAATGCAATTAGTCTGAAATGATTTAGCCATTCATGAATGGTATTTTTTCTTTCTTTCTTTCTTTCTTTCTTTCTTTCTTTCTTTCTTTATCTATTAAAAAAATTTTTTTTTCCTTTATTTTTTTTTTAGTTGGAGGCTAATTACTTTACAACGGTATTTTTTTCTGATGGCATTTCGCTAATCGTTGTGTCCCTGAAATTGATCTTTGGTGTTCTAAACAATTTAAAAACCAAGTCTACTCTTTGGTGATGAATAATCATACAAAGGAACTTCAGATAAAAGAAGAGAGAAAATATTTCAAAGTAGTATAGGATAGAGAATCTTCCACCTGCTTGTATTACTGTAACATATTATCAGCAAATAAAACCTCAAAATTCACTCTGTATCTTTTTTTTTTCTTTTTTTTTCACTCTGTATCTTTAAAAAAAGAACACACTAGAGAAAACTAGATGAAAAGTTATTTTACCTACATAGAATGAAGCTGATGTTTCCAGTTCAGTAAGAGAATAGTTGAGCTGGTCACAGTAAGGTTGGAACCCAATGTACTGGCTGGAAGACTGTGTCCCTCTGCAACTGAATATGTGTAATAGAATCTATAAGAAGCAAATTGCTGAGTGGATCAACTTGTATAAAATCCACTTTTTCATGCCACCTGCTTTTACTTTTGGTGTCTGAAGAGGGTGTGTGTGTGTGTGTGTGTATTCATCTAGTTAGCCTCTTCCTCACTTTTTTTTGAGTGCATGTTCGTAACTGGTATACTCTGCAGGGTATTTTGCAAGTATATTGCACTGTCCACAATGGGAGCTTTGTATTTATTCATGATGCTACGTGGAGATAAGTGACACTAACACCCCTTTCAGTGATTTAAAAAAAAATGCCGTTGACTAAAGAAGAATTGTGGAGCCATTTATCTTTGGTTTCCTCTGAGTCTTCCCAGTCTTTATTCTCTTCTGAACACCCAGGTACTGTGATTATCTTTATTTGGGACATATTGGTACCTGGGCCAGCTAATTGAAATGACACAGGACAGGATGAAAGGGACAAGGACCTGGAACCCCAAGTGGTTTGCTAGGGCTTGGGAGGCACTGGGACAACAGGATCAACTGCAGGAACTGGAAGGAACCCTAGTCCAGACCCATTGTTGGCCGTTCATGCATAATAGGCAGTCACTCAGGCCAGGTATCCTCACTGACCCCTTCATTTGCGTTCCAGTGTGAGTGAGTGAATGCTCACTCCAGATGGGTAGAACATATCCATACAGAATGTGGGACTAGGCAAATATAAATTTATTGTGATTAACATCCTTATCATTGCTCATATATATTTTTTTCAACTTTTAGGCTTATGTATTCTCTCATTGAATGGGTATGACAGATACATATGAAGCTGAGACCTGTAGAGGTTAACACACAGCTACAGTCACATAGGGAGAAAGAGCAGGGCCCTTGTTTTTCAAATCATTTTACTTATTTTTGGCTGTGCTGGGTCTCTACGGCTTCGCAGGGTTTTCTCTAGTTGTGGCGAGCGGGGGCGCCTCTCTGGTTGCGGTGTGTGGGCTTCTCATTGCAATGGCTTCTCCTGTTGCAGCACAGGCTGTAGGGTGCGCAGGCTTTGGTAGTTGCAACAGCTGGACTCAGTAGTTTTGGCTCCCAGGGTTTAGAGCACAGGCTCAATAGTTACGGCACACAGGCTTAGTTGCTCAGCTGCATGGAGGATCTTCCTGGATCAGGGATTGAACCCATGTCTTCTGCACTGGCAGGCAGATTCTTTGCCACTGAGCCACCAAGAAAGCCCCTGGACCAGAGCTCTTGATTGCCTTCCTCTGTGGCTTTACATCAGGGCATCATGAACTGAAATCGACTCCATTTTCTTGGAGTCGGCTTATGATTCTTGGAGTAGCAGGATTCTGGGAAGGATGCTAGATGAGTACTGACATAGCCGGATTCTGGGAAGGATGCTAGATGAGTACTGAGGTCCCCAGGATAAGATGGAGGTGGTTTGCAGAGCAAAAATGGGTGGTGGAGGCTGGGTCTTTGGAGTAAGACAGGAACCCTATTAACAGAAGTAAGAGTAGGCTAGTTTGATATAGGGAGTACTGCTTTATAAATCCTTACATTATTTCTGTCCAAAGTCAGGATTGGGCCCAGAGTTGGGGTGGGCTGAACTTCTAGGTGGGGCTTCCGCTTAAGGTGCTGGAAGGAGAGAGGTACAATGGTAGAAGACTGATTAGGAAAGGATCAGAAATTGAGTCATACTGTAATGGAAACTTCTGAAAGAAGTATTTGCATTTTACCAAGATTAAAGTTAAGAGAATGAAGCTCTAGTTATGCTGTTTCAACACTAGCTAGCAGATGGAGAGGTGGTTTTTTTTGGCAGGGATGGAGCGACGGTTGGTGGTGGTGGCCTTCCTGGAAATTCAAGTCATACCCATTGCTTACGCCATGGTTAAAACTGTCAGTTTTGTAGCTTTGCTATTTCAACACTAGCCAGCGGGTTAAAGATTGCTGGTAGTGGGGGGTGTGGGGACTTGTGACTTAGGAGTAGGGAGAGGAGCTGGTTGCAGGCCTCCCTGGAAACTTTGAAATTACACCATATGAGGTCAGCCCCCTTTGCTTGTAGGTGCATTTACTAGCGTAATGATTTTCTCTGTTGGATATTTATGACATCACTAGAAAATCCCCAGAAGCTTATTGTGATGTCATGAAAAGGCATTCTCGAAATTCAGAGCAAATCAAAGTAAAGAATATTGTTACTCTGGGGAAAAATGAGATTTTTGTTTTTGTTTTCATGGGAATGTCCTTGGTGATAATGAAGGAAGAAAAACACAGGAAACATACAATATGCTTTGAAAGCAGATTCATTTCTAATGGAATATTTCTCAATATTTTCCATGAAACATGAATCATGGGTCTTGAAGGGGCCACAAAAGGTCATAGTTCATTCTCACTGGGAGGCAGCACTTTACCTATGGCATCCTAGACAAAAGATTTTTCTTTCCTAGGCCAGATGAAAGTGTATAAAGAGCTAATTGTTGGGGGGGAAGAAAGAGTCTTAGCAATCAATATGAATTCTTTCCTTTGCTTAAATTCAGACGTTAATAGAGGGCAGCCGCAGGTCTCTCCTATTATTTTCATATCCTTGTCTGGGCTGAGGTGCTGGCAGGGCAGCCTTCCTTCCTGTCCACACATGCCATCTTTTTTTTTTTTTTCCCTGGGCCATTTCTCTGCTCCCTGTAAAACCCTTCAGCCAAAACAAACACCACACTTCCTTTAGGCTTTAGGTCTGTCTCCTTCAGCGGGGCCCTCCCCGCCCCCCCATTTCAGTCCATTCTGACCCTTCTCTGCGTTCCTGGAGGAGCAGGTAGAGGTAGCCTGCATGTAGCCGTCTGGTGGTATGTGGAAACCTTTCCTTAGCCCTTGAATTGGACTGTGAATTCAGCTGTGACAGGAAACAATGTATCCTCCACCCTAACCCACCCCAGCCACACAGCCTGGCAATAATTCCTGACTTTAGACCCTTGACTAGCTCTGGCATTACATCAGATGTGAGGATATTTCTTTTAACTTTTACTTTTGTGCTGGGAACTTAAAGATGTTTAGTTACGTGATTTTAGTGGGTTTTAAAATCTCTGTAGAAGAACTTTCAAATCGCATTTTAATTAAAGCCAATCAGTTTCCTTTAAAAAAATTTGTAAGTCTGCAGAACTTTCATATTGACCTGTATTAATCCTGTGATTTTTGTCTTTCAAGACTGTTATATTTCAAATTGTCAGCCTGAAGAAAACAGATGAATGTTATGGTGATAACAGCAAAAACAAGATAAAAGTGAAATGCTTGGGATCACCATTATTCTAATGAAGAATAATATTTAAATATATTTGATTGCTTGTGTTCTTTGTCCAGAATAGTCCAGACATCTTTACAAAGATGATTATTACTCAGCCAATCTGTGTTAAGTGGGTAGAGATCTTGAAATGGCAGGAGGGAAGCTCCAGGAAAACCCTCTCTGAGATGGCTGTAGTTTGGATGCTATTAGAGTGGAAACTTTTCCCCCGCCTGCTTTCCCCTCCCTCAGCCTTCTTCAGCTCTGTGTCTGACTCCGCCTGCCCCACCGAGTGTGGGAACCGTATCATTGATGAACAGCACGCTCTGCTCACAGGCTCTGTGAATGACACCATTGAGAGCCGTTCCACATTTCTGAATCTCCTTGTCTGTCTCCCTCCCACCCCCTCACCCTGCATATTCAGGATCCAGACTGCCACAGGGACCTTTGAGTTTTTTTTTTTTTTCTTCCTCACTTGGTACTTTAAGTGCATTTATTAGACTTGTTTGGCACCTTAAAACACCAACCTGACATTCTTTCTAAGAATTTTAAGACACAGGAATTCTCGTCTCCTGCTTTGTTAATTGAGAAATGACATGAGTGATGTCACTGGGAGGGCTTACAAGCTGAGGTAGACTATCATTTCATGAGCAAATCTGTGCCTTTAAGTCTGTGCCTTTAAATCAGCCTGCCTGAAAATGAGGTATTCCTGCTTTACTGGCTTAAAATCAAGGAAGGGGACCTGCTGCAAATGAAGTCGATCTTCTGAGATTGATTGCACCCTTGTCCTGGCTTAAATTTGCAAACAAGTTTTTCATCAAAACTATTTGGGTGGTTTGCAAGTGAAATTACTGCATATGACTGCCTTTAAATCTTTGAGAGTCTTTGCAAACTTTCATTATATTGAATATGTATTTGAATTTCATTTGATTGTATTTAATTAATTTATGGAAAGTCTGCATTATATGGGGAAAAGATTTTTTTTTTTTCCTGTTACAATTTTTGGATTTTGAGAGCTTTTTTCAGAGCACAGGAAACCACTTTTAAAGTCAATTTGTTTTGCATCTAGGGATTTGTGAGAGATCACTAACCTGAAATCTTACTGTGAACAGTTAAGGTCTCACTTGAAAAATCTTGTAGAATTGAAAATACCAAATCTTTAGCCCAGGCTAGCCCTTCTGTACTGCCCATCTTTTTGACCCTGATCCAAAGCTATATTTGGTGAGAGTTATTAGTACATAGTCTTCTAGTGAGGCTCTAGGTTGGAGAATCTTTGAGTTTCTAGGAAAATCTGAATTACTCCACCAACTTGCCAACTTGTTTTATAAGTTAAGCTTTGGGACAAATTGGTCTTTTACCTGTATGTGTGTAATATTGATGAAAGGTTGATGAAAAATCACTTTTAGCATTGTAGATATATACCTGATCTCTCAAATGCTTGGAAGCCTTATTTTGGGTATGATGATTTGCCTTTTCTCTCACACACGGCAT